CACGCAGAGGAGACAAGACAGACAAAGGGAGAGACATCGTTGAAGAGAGCCTCTCTTTGTTGCTCGCTCTCTCACTCTCACACTCTGTCTCTCTCTCTCTCTCTCTCTCTCTCTCTCTCTCTGTCACTCTCTCTCTCTCTCACTCTCACTCTCACTCTCACTCTCTCTCTCTCTGTCGCTCTCTCTCTCTCACTCTCACTCTCTCTCTCTCTCTCTCTCTCTCTCGCTCTCTCCCCTCTCTCTGTCTCTCTCCGCGTCCCCTCGGAACAGGCCCAGCCACACACTCACTCACACACACACACACACACACACACACACACACACCCCAAGCTTAGCTGTCCTCACTCCTCACTCCTCACTCCTCACTCACTCAAACCACCCCTCCTCCTCCTCCATCTCCACTTCTTCCCCATCCTCTACCTCCACCCCCACTCACACACCCCCTACTCCACCTACCTACTACTCACACCAACTCATCCTCCTCCACCTGCGCCGCCGCCTCTTCTTTGGCTCTTTTTTAACCGAGTCCTCCTCCTCCACCTCCTAACGCTCCTCCTGCTCCCCTACTCCCCATTTCCTTGCCCGGGGCCAGCTTTCTCAATGACCTCCGTCGCCGAAAGCCCCCGCGAAGCGCCCCCAACAGCGAAACACATCCCCCGCCCCCGTCCTTGCCCTGCGCTCCTCCAACACCTCGCTGCCGACAGCCGCAGGCGCAAGACGAGGAAGCCCAGCGCGGCTCGCCCCCCCACCCTCTTCCGCCTCAGCACGCGCCCCACCCGCGTACACTCAAAGCCCGCCCGCCACGCCGCCGTCGCCGTCGTCCCCTCGTCTGTCGCCACTGTCGGTGGACGCCGCCGCTCACCACCGCCAACATCAAGAGGCCGGAGCCGCGCGCACGCCGCCCGCCTCGCCCTCCCCCTCCACCACCCCGCTCGACGAAAAACCCCTCATTGCCGACACCTCCACCCTCACCCCGGCCTGGAGCGCCGTCCACGCCGCCGCCGGATCCCCCAGCACCGTCACCACCGCCCACACCGTCGGCAGCGGCGGCGACTCGCCCGACGAGCGCCGCAAGTCGCCCAGCATGCGCTCCATCGAAGCCTTCTTCGTATCCCACCCGCTCAGCATCTCCGTCGACGCCGATCCCCCCGCCTCCTCCGCCTCTTCGTCAACCGCCGCCGCCCCGCCGCAACCGCCGTCCCCATCGCCGTCGTCGGCCCCGCCGTCCCCGCGCCCCGCCTCTGCTACCCCGTCCACCCCGTCGCGCTGGCGCCGGTCCCGTTCCCCGTCCCCGTCCCCCTCGCCCGCCGCACCTGCAGCGGCGGCGGCGGCCGCCGTCGACGCCGCCGTGAGAGTCGAGGTGCGCCAGGTCGCCCGGCGCCTCGAGCAGACTCGGAGAAGCGTCCTCTGCGAGATCCCCCTGCGGTAAGCCGTGCGTGCGTGTGTGCTGGCTGTGTGTGCTGTGTGTGAGTGTGTGTGCGTGCGTGTGTTGCTGTGCGCCGCGTGCTGTGTGTGTGGCGCGCTTTCACGAAGTTCTATGTGGTGGCACTCACCACCCTTCGTCCACCCCGCCCCTCCACAACCTCGTGCCAGCTACGACAAGGGCTCCAACTTCCTCGACCCCGCCCTGCCCTTCGAGCTCGTCGGCCGCGTCGTCAACACCGAGTACGCCAGCCGCGTCCACGACCTCAACGCCCACCTCGCCAAACAAGCCTCCGTCGCCGACCCTGCCCCCACCGTCCGCTTCTACTCCATCGTTGCCGCAGTCGCAGTCACCGTCGTCGCGGGCGCCGTCGCCGCAGTCAGCAAAGCCACCCTCGTCCCCGCCGCCCTCGTCATACTCATCTCCCTCCCCATCGCTGGAACATTCTACGCCTACGCCGGGTCTACCACGCTCAAGGTTCGTGGCCCAGCGCCGGGGACCCGCTTCCAACTGAAAAAGCCATTCCCGAAAAAAAAAACAAAAAAAAAAACAAAAAACAAAAATGTAAACAGGCCGAAACCACCCTCCGCCTCCACCTCCAAACCTGGACCGCCCTCGACGCCCCGCGCGCCCTCCACTGGTCCTCCCGCCGCCTCGTCCCGGATTCGATGCCCCGCACCATCCGCCCGCGTCCCGTCCCCGTCCCGTGGTCCGTCGTCTGCGAATTCGTCCCGCGCGCCCACGCCGTCGCCGCCCAGACGTACGAGACGTTGCCGATGTACCGGAGCGCGGACCGCCATGATGACGATGAGGATGAGGACGTCCACCACGTCGACGACCGCGGCGATCACGCCCACGCCGACGAAGACGGCAACGGCGAAGGCGGCAACGGCGAAGGCGGCCACGGCGAAGCCCCCGTCTTTGTCGTCGTCGTCGTCGAGGAGCCAAACGCGAGCACCGCCCCGCCGCCACCACCGCCCTCGGGTTCTGCTTAGGGCCCGGGGGGATGGTGGGGGACCAGCGCCCATACCCGACCTTCTCTCTCTCTCTTTCTCCCTGCACATTGTGGCAAACATTTCGAGCGCGGTAGACTAATAACGAAATCGGTGTGATTTTCATGATGAGGAAAAAAGAAAAAAAGAAAAAAAAAAGAAGTAGTGTACAGCTTTGCCGCCACCCCCTCAACTCCTCGCAATCACGTCTCATTTTGAACCAAAAACAATCAAGCAAATCGACACCAACGACCTCGTCTTCCCTCAAAAAGACACATGTCACTGGTGTGGTGTTGGCGCTGTGATGTCCTCCATAAGCTATCCATGTTCTGCCTCTCTACGCGTGTGCTACGCCCGTACCTCCTCTCACCTCACACAGTCTTTCACTTTAACAGTATTTTTTTCTTTCCCTCTCCCTTTTTTTCATGTTTTTTTTTGTTTTTGGATTCTCCGTGGTTCTCTTCTTTTCTTTTTTTTTTTTTTTTTTTTTTTCACCATGTGAACTGGGGGAGGGAGGGAGGGTCTTATTCTGCTGCTCTTCTTCTTCTTCTTCTTCTTCTACTTCGGAGTTTTAAACTGAATATTGCGACTCACCAAACTGTGCAATCATACTGAGTCATACTTCTGAGTGAATATTTGAACAACATGCAAGCAAGGAATTTGGGTACAATGACTGTCTTCATGACTGTCATCCTCCAAATGAAACAACAAACTATAGCTGTTGTCGTCATCATCGTCTTCCATATCTTGTGGGGGAGTTGGCGGTTGATCTGAGGTGTTTGTCAATGATGATGGCGGCCGTCCCCTCAGAAGCCTGGCACAGTTGCTGGCGAGTACTAGAGGAGGGAGCACTGTCAGGAGGAGAGTTGGATAATCAGCAGTAAGAGTCAAGTGGTGGCTTGACAGGCTCAAAAGAAGGAGAGTCGTCAGTTTCAGGAAAGCCAGTAAAATCATCAGAAAGAGAAGTTAAGAAATCAGAATTAAGAGATTGAAGCTTAGCGTTGCTGCAGACAAGGCCAGGAAAGGCATGCTCAATGCAAGTTGCAGTGGCGTGCCTGAAGAATGGTCTGTCCAGCAAGGTCGTGGCTTGTCAGGAACAGGGCAGGACAGGGCAAGGCAGACAAGGAACTGAGAGGAGTGATGATTGTATTGGAAACAATAATTCACTTGTGGGATGGGACAGGTCCCCCATCCCCCTTTTATACCTTTTGAGAGTCTTCCTTGTCAAGACTCAAAGAAAGTTCCAGAAAGAGCAATTAGTAATACAATGATACCAATGATACCAATGACAACAAGACAAGTCAGGAAAGCAAAGAAGGTTCCACAAGGTTCCATGAGGAATGTTCTAGAAGGTTCCAGAGGTTTCCAGAGGGTGACTCATAACATAGCTGAGGGCAATACACTCGCTGTCTGTGTTGAAGCCCACGAAGAGTCCAAGTGAGGCCCAATGAGAGAACTTGGCTTTGTGTGAGTTTGCAGGTTCTGTGTAATCATTGTTGAGTGTGACACAAGGTGGCGTTGGTTGGGTTTTCGGCCTTGGGAATATTCAAATGGAATTCGGCCAGTGTGAGTGTGCTGAACACAATTGCACAGGGATGAAGCATGGTGTATTGCGTAGTTTGTCAACAGCACAAGCCAGCGCCCAGGTCTGCATTGGCGGTGGCTTGCTCTCCCCATGGGTATCGTTCTCACAATAAATTACAGTCACAATAGGTTCGGGTCTGTCTTGTGCCTCTTGCTGCTAACCAGTCGACAATATGGTGTTTCTTTTGGTTGGTGTTGGTTCCACCAGCTAGGTGAAAATTCCAACTTTGATCCAATCCAAAAAAATTAAAAAAAAATTAGCAATAAAAAATGGGGACATGCAGAAACAAAACATTAACCTCCAAGGTCCAACCTGATCACAGCTGCAATGACGACAGGAAGTGTTGCGAAAGTTGCAATGGTGAGATTAGTGGTGGTATTTGTTGAAATTCAATGGGGACGGGACGGATGCACAGTCGAGGGCGAGCAGAAGGTCTGACTGTCCCTCCAAAAGGTCTAATCCCATACAGCCATTGGTGGGCACTTTTGTGGGCGTCAGTGGGGGAGGGCGATAAAGCCAAGTGCCACTCAGACTGCGACCCTGTGTAATCAACTTGGGTGATTTGTGCTGTCTAAAGTTGTAAAAGGAGGAGAAAATCTCAAACTGATCGTTAGAAGCCTGGAAGTCAACAGCCCAGGCGTCGTCACTCACATTGTGATCACAATCTCCAACTCCACAGTGTTGATCAGGTGCTAGTACAAGAAGAGCTGTTCATTGAGGTGGTTTTTGGTAGTGCCAGCAGCGAAAAGTTGATTGGATGTTTTTGATCACGTCAAAAATGCCGTCTTCGCAGCGCTAACAGCAAGGGAGGGGATAGGCAACTGTAGGCACAGCACCATGATTGCCACAGCACCAAAGCTGTCTGAGGGAGCAAGCAACACTGGAACATCCTCAATCTCCACAAAGCCCATTGACGTTTCTTGTGTGGGGTGCATCAGGAGGGAAACCCCTCACCACCGTTTCTGGTGCACAGCGCCAAGGCAAAACCCGGTCACAAGCAAGCCCATGGTGGGGATTGAACCCGCAATCTCTCCCTTTGGAGAGGGACACAATACCACTTTGCTAAACGGGCCTTGACACTTGGCAAGCACAGCAGTGGCCCCTTTCAGAGTACAAGATTTGACTTTTTCAAATTTTTGTTTTGATAAAGAAAACAATTGTTTGAAAAACAGATCTTTTATCAAAACAAAAATTAGAAAAAGGCAAATCTTGCACTGTGAAAGAGGCTATGGTGTGGACAAGAAAAGGTGTGCGGTCCTCTAATAGGGAAGGGGAGTATGCTGAGCACAGTATGCTCAGCACCAACCTCTTCAATTTGTGCCTGCTTGTGCTTTGCGGTTGTTTGGTAGCTTTTACTAGCCCCTGCGTTCGCAATCTTCCTGTTCCAGCACTCGCACGTTGTGGAACATGTTTGAAGCTAATGCACCAAGTGTGCCAGCACGGTGCTTAAGGCTGAACTCACCCCCTGCATCTGGAGGTGGTTGCGCTTGGCACATTCCCCACCAGATGAGAATCTAGGCAACTCATTAGACTAACTGCTATCAAAAAACCCACTTTGACAGGGCGCTCCTCCCAAACCGGGAATTGAACCAGGGTCTACCCCGTGGCAGGAGGTGATACTAGCCACTATACTAACTGGGAATGCCACTTTGTGAGCACAAATACTCATAATGTGGTCTCTGAAGTTCCTAACAGTTGAAGCCACTGATGCCAATGGACCACTTTACGGCATGTTGAAACTCACTTCTTGATTGGCTGGTTTGTCTTTTCATGTGCAGTCTTTTTGCATGACAATTCCAAGCTGTTGAGGGGGTTTTCCACCTGACAAAATCTTTGTTGTCCTGCCACTTGTGATTCCTCGCCCGTGCAACATGGGAGGCTCTTGCAGTGTGTGTGTGTGTGTGTGTGTGTGTGTGTGTGTGTGTGTTTGTGTGGAAAGACCGCTTGCAAATTCCTCAGCACAAACTGACTTCTTATGGAAACTATTTGTCCTGCTGTGCCTGATCCAGGAAATTTGCCTAGCAATTCGGTATGAATTTTGAAACTGTGCATCAGCCACACTCCTTGCACTTTCATTGAAAAGGCGGTTTTCCATAGCAATTTGTGTGCAGAACATTTTCAAGGCATTTCTCATCTTACCCTCTCTCCCCCTGCCCCCCATTTTGCCAAGAGGTGCAGATCTGCCACTCAGCCTCTTTATCTGCGTAATGGTTACAAATAAGACGCACCCAGCTCCCGCGCAGCGAGACTGGATGGAATGTCACAGGCTTCACAACAAGTTTTGTTACTACTGCCAGGGGATCCCTACACTGCTATTGGGGGTATATATCAGTGGTAGATAGCTCGCTTCGCATGCGAGATGCCCAGGGTTCGATCCCCTCTGTGCCTCCACAGTGTCGTTGAAATGCATTTGAGTTATTTGTGTAACTGCCATTCTGACAAGAGGAGCTGTTCGGCGATGCACTCACAAAGCCTGTGTTCCAAACAGTCTCCCTGACTGGATGCACAAATCCAAGAAAATTGCTAAGGATTTCAATTTTATGTTCATCACGTACTTGCCAAAAAGGAGTGACAAGGGCCACTTGGCTGCAGCCACACCAAAATAACCAGCAAGCACACAAACAAAAACCCACTTGCACCTTCTCCTGCATCTCAGTATGAGATTCTTGAGTATCTCACACAAGGTGTCAGTCATAGATTTGGTTCTTCAGCTCTTACTCTACGATGATTCGGTACAACGCATTGTACAGTTTCACATGAAAATATTGTACCCCATCAGAAAGTGTAAACAGTCTACTCTGGAAGTTGGGGCACCTGAGGCAAATCTGTTAAGGACATTGAAAATGTAATGCATAACTATATGAATCATTGATAATTGGGACAAGTGAGGGTGGGGGTGGCGTGTGTGTCTGTGATGGTGGGGGTGGCGATGGTGACAGAGGAGACGGATGGAATCAAAGTCAAATTTTTATCCATTATAATGTATGCAGGGGCATATTCCAACAGGGACTATGCTTGGGTTTGTGGTCCAGTGGTATGATTTCAGAGGAGACAGATGGAATCAAAGACAAATAACCTTCTTCTTTCTTATTGATTATAATGTGTGCGGTGTATATTGATTGGGTTTGTGGTCTGTGGTATGATTCCTCCTTCGGGTGGAGGAGGTCCTGGGTTCAATTCCCAGCAAGCCCGGTTAATCCTTCTGGCGGTGCAGGAGGAAAGGGGAGGAACTCAGTCAGGCCAAGGAGGAGCTTATTTCACCCAGTTATGAAGAGTGTCTCTTCTCCAAGAATACTGCAATGCAACAAAGCGCAGGGCAGAAAGCCACAGTTATTACCTTGCCACTGGATGATTTGTCTGAGCGTATTCCAACACAGTTACATGGTCAAAGCTGATGAATGTGCCAAATTAAGCCCTTGTTCTGGTGCTTAGGGCATGACTGCACTTGTACTGGGTCTCAGGACTTTTGCTAATGCAGAGAGACAGACAAACTGGTTTTCCTTGAAGGCAGGCTCACATTCAGACCAGAACGAAGCCTGTTTTAGAGGTCAGAATGCCACTGTCCCTTTGATCTGAGGAATTGAGCTAACTTAAAATGTGGACTGTAAAGAAGAGTCACACCCCACGCACATCCATGCGTTACTCAGAGTGCTCTGTACAGGGATCGAACCTGTGATTTTAGCGTGCCTCAAGCCCACAAGAGGGCTTATTAGCACTACACTCTAACCAACTGAGTTAACAGAGCCTCTGCCTGATACTAGCTCGCTGCCTTACTCATACAGAAGGGAAAAAGGCAGAGGTTGGCTTCACCAATTTGCCTTTTTCCCTTCATTAGTAATTTCGTACATGCTAGATAACGAAAATTTGTCAACTGGCGTGCGGTTGGAATATGGTCAGGATACAGTTTTGAAAATGGTCAATCTGTGAAGTGGGATTTGTATAGTTGAGTCCTTTGTGCAGCAAAACACAAGGACAGAGGGTTGATCCTGCTTGGTTGACCATTTAAACTTCTTAGTTTGCAGTGACAGTTCTATTACCATTAAGCCACCTCCGCTTCAGCAGTTAGGTTAAACTAGAACTAAGGATGGCTGAGATAATGGGAGGATAGAGCAGAGTGTGATTATCCAGAGAGACCAGAGCCTTAATCTGGCGCCTTTTGCCCCCATTGTTCCTTGTCACCAACTGGGTTAAGGTGACAGACTCAAAAATCTATTACTCTCTGGGTGCACAGGTTTGAGTCCTGCCTTTTTTGACAACGCAGGACTGAAGGGCACGTAAAGCTTGTTGATATCAATATAGATAGCCAGGTAAATAGGCAGTTAAATAGCCAGGTAAATTGCCAGGTAACTAGCTGGGTAAATAGTCACTGGACCAAGCCATAAAACACTAATATGGGTCCAAATATCACTATATTCTATTGATTTAGATCCTCAGAAATGACCCCAAAACAACCAGCAAACAAAACCTGTGGTTTGCCAGTTGCTGGCTGCCAGTGTGAGGATCTGTATTGTGGCAGTGGCGTTTGGAACCTGCTAGGGTTGTAGATGCAACCCAAAAGCTTTGGGTGGCCTATGACATTTCTAATCTAATGGGTCAGTAGTAAGCTGGGATTTTACAAGTGCTCCGTGAGATAATTATTGACAACTACCAACGTAGTAGGCCCAACGCCATGAAAATTCTAATTTTAAACTTTCCTGTTATTTATCCTGCCCAACAGCAAACCTTTGTCCTGTCCTCCGCATCATAAAAGAGCTCCTTGTGTTCTTTATGCTGACTGGGCCACAGCATAGAGGACACACCCCGTTTCTTTCCTGTTTACTTTTTGTTGCTTTGGTTGATGTGGCTCCCTTTTACCATTCTTCAATCCCCTTTCTGTGCATTGATGTGTGGCCTCCCAGAGCTCAAATTTAATCCATCGTCAATTTTGAGGAAAACTCTTCAAATTTGAGAGAGGTGTGGCTGAACGTGTGGCTGTAACCTTACAAATTGTTCTTTCCTTTCCTTTTCTCCTTTTTTTTGATTCTTTGTGTTGTTTCATTTTCTTCCTTTCTTTCTTTCTTTCTTCTTGTCTTTTCTTTTTTCTCCTTGACTGCTAAAAACACTGCCACCCATTCCCTTATCCCTTTCTCTTTACCTATGTTCTATCTTACTTTCCTCAATAAATCTCTCTCTCAGGCCCGTCATATTGTTCTTTGTTTGTTGAGGTGGTTCTCCTTGGCCAGTGCGTTGTTGACCAAGGATGGAGAAGATGAGTCCTCTTAGGCCAGAGCCACCAGATCAAGCTGAAGTGGCAAGAACAACATTTCCCTTGGGCCAGTATGTGAAGACCAAGCCTTGCGTGAATACCATCCCCAAAGCAAGTGTGTGGCAGACCAACTTGGATTGGGGTAGCTATAGACATACATGTGGGGCCATAACATGTGGGGCCAGAGTGTTGCAGGCCAAGCCCACTTGAAACCATAGCCCACGTTTTAACCCCTATTTGTGAGCATCTTCTCTACCAATATGAGGTACCACCCATCACAAAGACGTCACCACAATCACAAGTTACCTGGGCTGAGCCCTTAACAGTGTTGATCGCTCACTGCATGTTATGAATCACCCTCTGGAAACCTCTGGAACCTTCTAGAACATTCCTTCATGGAACCTTGTGGAACCTTCTGGAACCTTCTTTGCTTTCCTGACTTGTCTTGTTGTCATTGGTATCATTATTGTACTACTAATTGCTCTTTCTGGAACTTTGTTTGAGTCTTTACAAAGAAGACTCTCAAAAGGTATAAAAGAGGGATGGGGGACCTGTCCCACCCCTCAAGTGAATTTTTGTTTCCAATACAATCATCACTACTCTCAGTTCCTTGTCTGCCTTGTCCTGTCCTGCCATGTTCCTGACAACCAGGCTGCGGGTTTTTTTTTGTTGTTGGCGTGTTCTGCTTTTTCATTTCACTCCCCCTCCCCCCCCCTAACCGTTCTGCAGGTGGCTAGTGTTCAAGAGGACCAATGGCAAGGGGATTAACAGCATGAAGGTGCAACAATCAGGATCCTGGCAATCAAACTGGACTCGAGCAACGAGACTTTGCCCTCTGATGCTGTCTGTTGTAACTTGTGCTTGCTGTCAGTTTGGCATTTAGATAGCTAAAGGAAGGATAATGGTCAGTTGGAATTGGCTGGCCAAGTATCCCACCCCAGCAACCCAAGTGATTGCATTGCAATTTTGCACTGTTTTTTTTGCACAAGGAGAAACTATTTTCAATCAATGTAGCAAACGTTGCACATGCTGCACAACGTAATGGTCAGGCTTCCACAGTCGAACCCCCCACATCATGCTGGATTCGCAACCTGACTTAAGTTTTTTGTTTATCTCTATTTTTTTTCTGCTCAGTCTGTCAGCCAGGAGCCAGACAGTAGAATAAAGAAATTTGCAATCTTTCAGCTGAACAAGACTAAAGCAAACACTCAACAGAAAGTTGAAGCATTTTTCCAGCTTGTTCAAACAAATGCAAATGGCTGGTTTTGGCAAAGAACCCATTGGCTTGTTAGTTTCCATTGAATGACTGCCGTCAGCCAATGAAATTTGACAAGGCCCAACTCAGACGAAGTCTGTTCACCGGAACCACCGTAATTGGTGCAACACAGGTCATGCGCACTGTTCCTGCATGGTTTCACCGAGGTTCGAACTCGGGACCTCCTGTGTGTGAGACAGATGTGATAACCAACTACACCATGAAACCACATGGCTAGCCTTGTCAATATGCACTTGCTGCCAGAAATCGTTTGAACGTTTGTTGAAAAAGTGAATGAAATGTAGGCTGGAGTTGGCCTGGGTTGAGCCACCATGATGCATGCAGCCACTCATCTGCTGCCACACCACAGTTCAGTCAGGCAAACCATCTCCTTCTTAAAGCAGAAAGCGTTTTGTAGGCAGTTCCTGCTTCTAATAGCAGCAACAATGCAACAAAGGAACAGCCAGCTGCTCAGACAGGTTAAGTTTTAAGATATTGTGTTTTTGTCCCCCTGATTTTTTGATCTGTGTTTTGACTTTCTGACAAACCAGCATTTCATGCAGGCAGACTGTGGTTTGGGTGTGCTGATTGCGTGTTTTTTTTTTTGTTTTTTTTTTTTTTTTTTTGACACTTTGTCTGATATCTTGTGGCAAGGGCAACGAAGATTTAACAAACGTTTGGAGCAAAACATTAGGCTGCAAAAACTGTGTCCACTGTCCAACATCCAGTTACATCCTCCATGACTGACTCAGGCTGTTTGCGTTTGTAGAGATTTTGTTGCTCTTGGGGCAAGAGACAAACTTTTGCCACCCACCCCCAGGCCAGTGGGGGTAGCCTGTAGGTAACAAAGGAAGGTGGCCTCCAGGCTGTACCTTTTCCTCCTGAATAGGGTCTGCCACAGACTGAACTGGGTCAAATCTGAAGTAAATTTGAGTTTGTTTTGAACTAGAATCAGACTTTAATCCTGCACCTCATGGTGGCTCTCCTCCCCAGGCCCATCCCATTTACTGTCGCTCCTGCCCTGAATTTCTCTTTGATCATCAATCTTGTATCAATTTTTCCTCCCTCCTTCGTGGCTTCATCCCTCAATCCTTTTATGACTCCTTATTCTCATGTGATAACCCTGCTGCCTCTGTCCTTAAAACCCTTGTCACTGCTTTCCATCAGCTCCTTCTTGACGCTCATCAACTTATTTGGATTCCCAGTTGCAACGACACTACCTCTTGGGAGACGTCAAAGTCCATCAAGACCTCTGACAAGCACTCCAAACCCCACAGATCCCCTCCACCAAATTCCCAGGCCTCTCACCCTCGTTCTGCAGCCTCTCACCCACTGTCTTCTCCAAATGCCAACTCCTCCATCCCTCCCACTCCATCATCCCACAGAACTCGTAACAGCTCTTCACAACCCTCTCAACCTCGCTGCACCACATGTAGTCGCCGGCACTCCATTGACACTTGCCCAGGCATCTGGCCTTTGCGCTTCTTCCAGATGGATTGATCACTACCTCAGCCGCATAAAACTTGTTGCAGGCATTATCTGGCTTCACCACACAATGTTGGAGTTTGCACACATTACCTACACCTTTTAAGATCCTCTGACCTGTCTTCAAGAGTAACAATAAGTTAAGATGGCATAAGGGCTGAACCCAGTGTTATCTAGACTTTTCTCAATCTCTGACACTGTACAAGTGCTTAGAGGTGGTTTCAATCCCCAGTCTGGGTAGACCACATCAGTGTGCTTCACTCTTGCAATTTGATAGGAATGATTACAGGAGCTTGACAGGGAGCCTGACTTACTTCTTTGCACTCATAACTCCATGGAAGTTCTGGCCAAATCAGCGTGATGCAACAATGATGTCATGCCTGCCTCCTGACTCCTCAAAGTCTAAACTCTATCTCTCAGAGCTAAAAGGCTATCACCAAAGTCTGATTCCTGAGACCACCTGCAGTATAAAAGGGGGAGCCCCAGCAGCTCCAGAGGAGCATCATCCCAGATCCTGATCACATCTGCCTGCGCTCTCTCTACCCTCGAATACAACAAACAAAAACCATTATTCTTATCTGAGTCAACATACCCTCTACCTTGACCTCCGAAGCTCTTCAAGTTCTACCACGGGTTGATACCTCGTTTGTATAGGGCGCTTTGCTTTTACAAGAAAAGGGTGTGCTCTGCACTCTAAACAAGACCAATCTGTCTGAGAGCATCGGCTCTCCATCTACTTTGGCAACAAAGGGCGCTTCGCTCTTAACAAGAGAAGGGCTCTCGCTCTAAACAAGCTTTATCGCTCCACGCCGACTCAAGTCTGTTGGTGCCCTTCTGACACGCCAGGTGCAATCACCAACACACAATACAACTTCCCTCATGCCAACAAGCAAGAGCCACTCGTCATCTATCTCCTGCTGAGCCCCCGACGTTCACTGAGCCCATTGTTACCCCTCTCAATCTTGACATGGGCCGTAGCCTAATCTGACTTATCCCAACCCTCTGACTTTTCACAGCTGTTCCCCTCTCTTACACTGACCTCCTTCCTATCTACTTCTCTATTTTCTTGATTCTGTGTTTTTCCCTTCTCCTTTGATCATTGTGGCTTTATGTGCAGTGGAGATGCCTGATGACCCTGTAAGTCTGTAGCGCATGGGGTGGGTTTGCTGAGGTGACACCTGGACGTAGTCCATTACAGTTCACCGTTGATGGCTCTTTCTCTTCCTGCCAGCCCCTCTGGGGCTGGAACAATAAAAAAAATAAAAATAAAAAAAAAGACTTTAATCAAATGAATTCTCAAGTATAGAGTGATTTGAATTCGATTTGATTCAGGTTTTATGAGTAAAAAATCGAATTTTCATTTGATTTGGCGCAATTTGAGTGCAAAAACAGCCATTTGTCAGATTCAAATGTCAGGAAAATACATTTTTTGTTGTCATTTGGGTCTGGAAAGCAGAATCAAATCAAATCAAACCCAAATAGGGATCTGGTCTGTGGCAGACGCTACTCGTAATAGAAATCATTTTCAGCTCTGCTGCTGGCAAACTTGCTGCATCAGGGAGATTGTTGCCCTCATTGCAGCATATGATGGCAAAATCAGAAAGAAACGACTCTGGCGCGTATGGCCCTGCTTTGGCAAGTGATGGTTTTGGTTTCCTGAGAGTGCCCCCCGGCACAGTAACTCTGTCACCTTCAGGTGCTGTTCCCCCTTGTCTGGGGATCCAACTTCCGCGGAAGACAACGGAATGCCGACCAACAGTCCAGGTTGGTCAGCGGTCAGACATCAGTCACACAAATCTATAGCCCTGAGCGCCACTGGGTGGACTCGAACCACCAACCTTGCAGTGTGCTGCTAACCATGTCTAACAGACGCACGCGCTAACCAGTTGCGCCACGGCAGCATACTGTAGTTTGGAGATGGTTGCCAATTGATCCTAATCTTTTCACACTTTCCCATTCAAGGAAGCGTTCAAAATGTGTGGCAGAGATTGCATATGACCAAAGGATTGTTGGGTATTGTGTTGACTCTCCATTCTCAAAATGGCACGCCAGTGCAGACTCAAAGGCCAGGCTGCAGGGCAAAGTATGTAAATCAAACAATAGACCACCCCCCAAAAGCCATTGGACTTCACAAAATGCAATGCAGTCAATTTTCTGTCTGCACCCCTGCCATGCACCCGTGACAGCAAATGTGTCAGACACCATTTGCAAAATTGCAGCACAAGGCGACCCAATGCTGGACCATGTCTAATGACTGCAAATACCACAGTCTTTTGGGTAAAGGCACACCCTTGAAGATCCAAATACAATCACTGATAACAGATAAAACGGGGTTTTCGCATAATAGTGGTATGCGCAAAGGATACTGAAAAGAGGTTTTCTGTATCTGTTATCAGTTCAGACATATTAGAAACATGCTGCAGGCTGCACCACACAAAAAAAAAAAAAAATTGTTAGTGTTGTCAGCATTTTGCCCAGTATGGAAGCCTGCAGACGCATGAACCAATTTGGCAGGTCTGAAAAAGCAAACACTGCCTTCTCAAGGAAATTTGCTTTTTGGCAATTCGACACTAACACAGGGCGAAACATCCCAAGCTTCACTTTGAGACTGAAAAACTTAACACACATTCACCTTTCACTCATCCCACTGTAAATGCCCAAACTGCTGAATAGGGTCTAACACAAATCGAGTCATTTTCAATGTTGGATTCGCTTTGATTTGATTTTCCGAATACAAATAACAATTCCAATGTTATTCAGCCATTTGATTCAGTAAATTTTCAATTTTTAGGCTGAACAGTCAGACATATGAAAATTTCACTAATGATGAAATCACTTTTGAATCAAGTCCAAATGGTCATTCGAATCAAATGCAGGGTTCGTGTTCCATCCTAGTGCTGTAGCTGACAATGCCCTCGCTAAATCTACGCTCTACCGATTGAGCTAACCAGGCAACACACGATGCATTTTTCCACCCAATTCGCTCGGGAGAATGATCACAACTCCCTCCATTGGCCTGTTCTTGGGTCATCATACAGCCCTTCCTGCAGAAAACTGAATAGTGATAGAGAGTGGACAAACTCTGTGTGCAGTGTCAGAGGCATCGCACACTCCTCCTTGCTGCAGTACACGCAGCTGTAACTGCTTGCAATAGGCTCAAATAACACACGCAGATCCCTTGCTCCCAGCTGGGAGCAATTCTACTGTGGCAGCAGTTGATGAGCACTGTTCACCTTTCACACACCAGTTTGCCTGGAACCCACCCCCCCTTCTGCGGAACCCACATTCCGAATCTGACTGATTGCTTGCACAGTGATTGTTTGAATACACTTGGCCCAAGCCGACTGTTAAGCGTTTGCCTTCCATCTGTTACCTGTGCCCTAACTCTGTGTCCCTTTTGCTCGCATGATTGCAAAAATGAATGAAGCTCCCCCAATAGTTTATAATCACTCCAGCTAATCATAATCATAGTAGAACCATTTTTGTTGATAATCCTTGGCTTCTAGGATTTTTAGAAGCTGAAAGATGCTTTCATGTGGGCTTTAACCCTTTAGCAATCATCGTGCCAATGGCAGCATGATGACCTACTTTTCCGCCATTACAATTAGAAGAACTTCACCAAAACAAAACAAATCCTCGTGAAACTTTAATATGTTGTAGTCCTACCAATTCTGCAAATGCGGTTCCAATTAGCTTGCTCCTTTTGTTAGTGAAAAAAAGTTGTTTCAAACCAACGAAACAGTGTTCCATTACAGCACAGGCCACCAATCACAACCTGCCTGCTCTCCACATCCGTGTGCCACAAAAAGAGTGATCATGCAACATTGCTGCAATTCCCAATTGCGATTTTTGGCATAGAGGTAGATCCAGGATGTGTGCATCTGTGAACACCTCATTTGTTTAAATCTGTTTGCTGATCAGCTAACGCAAATATGCCGTTGAACGCACAGCTACACCAAAACTACCAAAGAAGCCAGGAAGAAACACAAAGGCATATTGGGAGATCCATTTAATCAACTCAGGACACTCCAAGGAATCACTGGCTGGTCTTACTTTGAAAGAATTGAAAGCTTGGGCTGGTGTTATATGTTCTTAATCCAAAAACTCGCAACTGACAAAATCTAGGTGATCGTGCAGCTCAAAGTGGCTCTCGTTTGCACTGTCAAGCAGCAACAGATATTTCTAACATACACAGAGAGCACACAAAAACCTTTGGTGCTGGATGTGGAAGTTTGGAGCCCTCCACACTGCCTGGTGCTCATGGAAAATTGGATGCTTCTGGATCTGCTGCAAGTGCTGAAAACAGGACTTTGATGTGTGGACAAGTGGTTGCTTTTCCATTGGAATCTGCTGTTGGGGGGGTGATGGGTTCTGCTGGAAGTGGACCGATTTCTTCAGCATTGATTCATCTGGCAAATTCTGGGGCACAAGTTGGCTCCACTGGTGCTTCTTGCTCTGGAAGTGCTCTCTTGGCTGATGAGAGTTCTGATGGACCTCCTCCTCTTGAGATGATTGATGACATTGTGATTGTCAACGCTGAGCAGTTTGAAAGAGACATTGTTGCGCTTCTTGCAGAGGGTGAGCAGTGTACAACCAGCCCAGCTGAGTGGGTTGAATCGTGACAAAAGCACAGACATTGCATCCATGCTGTCATCTACATGAGACTGGAACACTGTCAAAAATGTGGTGCAAGTAGCAAAACAACCAAATGTGCCACATTTGGAAATCCAGTTATCACTGGTCTTTTTCTTTGTTTTTCCAACTTTTGCTCAACAGAATCATCATAGAAAAAAAAATTGGAGCAACAGCCACTTAGACCATTTATTTCATGTCCATTTTCAGAGTAGCACGCAAATTTTTAAAGACTTTGGTGCAGTTTTTACATCAGTCCACTAATAAGAGAAAAGGCGTGCTGCAATCAGCACAGCTGCAGTTTTGTTGGAATTATTATTTGTCTAGATTGAGTAAAACAAGATGAAAAGGTACCAACAGAAAGCCCTTTCAATTCTGAACGTGCTGGTACTAGTTTCATCACGAAAGTCGCGTTGGTGCAGAGGTTAGGTATGGGACAACTTTGAGGGTCATTGTGCAGCATGTGGCACAGTGGCACAGACCCTTAAATGGTTAAGTCACATTCTCTCAAATGTCATGTGCACACCTTTGGAGGTACGCAGTTCTTGTATGGGGCACAGCAGTGCAGAAGCCAGCTGCCGTCTCCTGCGATTGAACCTGGTGCTTTAAATCACTCCTCTCAGTTCCTTGTCTGCCTTGTCCTGTCCTGCCCTGTTCCTGACAGGGGTGGAAGGAAGTTTGGTGTTTTGCATTCTTTGCACTCTGTGCAGCAATTTCTCCTTTTTGTTGGCGCTTGACCTCGCTTTGTTGTTTGCTAGGGTTGACAAGAGTGGTGGTTTTTATTTTGTTCTTTTCTTTTCTTTTTTTTTTTTATTTCCCACACTGCTAGTCTCCCACAAGTCACGTGACTGCCATGGGATCTCCAGTCATAGATGTAGCTGGTACCACTGTTACACTACCAAATGCATTGGGTCGCAGGGCGTCCCCTGTGTCCAAAGCAGTAAGTCCGTATCCCTAGTAGGCCCAGTAACGCCCTGACCAAATTGCCTTACCTCAGCTCCAGTGTTGTCACTGTATACCACTTTTTTGAGGTGGTCATGTGCTGGGGCTCTGTGGTGAGACCCCAATGCCTTCATTGCTTGCCAACCCTGCACCAACACATGCAGCAGCTGCCTTGCAATCACCTCCACCTCCAGTGCTCCACAACCATTGCTGTGATGCAGTTGTGGTGGAAGGGCTTGCACGACGCCAGCTGACGTCATTGGCAAGGCAGATTGACCAAGCAAAAGTGCTTGACAAAAAAATTTTTGCACAAGAGCCTACCTAAAATGCCCATGCAGGACTGTTTGGGGCTGACTTGAACAGTTTCTGATGCAAATTAGAGACTGCCAGGGGGCTAATAATGAAGTTTCAGGCTAAGTTTAACTTTCCAGACTCAATGGCCAGCAGGACTTCAGCTGTTGAAGCTGCAGTGTAGAAGGCGACATTGTGAGTGAAGGTGGCATTGCAAGAAGGTGGAAGGGTCGAGGAACTGAGGCTTGAATCGAGAACTTGTACAAGGGAGCAAGCAATCCTAGCGCAAACAACAAAGGTGGTCAAACCCCAACACATAGGAGTGTTAGGCAGAACTGACTGGTTAGCAGCAAGAGGCACAAGATGGACCTGATCCTATTGTGACTGTCAGTTATCATCCTCACAATGCCCATGGGAGAGCAAGCCACTGCCAATGCAGATCTGGGCGCTGGCTTGCGCTGATGACAAATACTCATGACAAAAGTTTTCATGGAAACCCCAAAATTGAAGTGCTGGTGGACAGAATCGCATAGAACGACTAGGGTTAGTTTGAAATGTTATGAAACAAACTTTGCGCACGCGGTGTCAATCCGCCGAGGACGCTGACGCATGCATCTGACCAATAGAAAGGGGTGTTGCTTTGGCCCGTTTTGCACAAAGAACACAGGATACTCTTTTATGATGCTAGGCATCAAAGAACTGCCAGGCAGTAAGGTGTGTTAGTTTGGAGGGAAGATGAAGACAATCAGCCTTGTATCCAAGGAAGAGCTTATTAGGGAGACCTCAACTTGTCAGTGCCCCATGAGATTGGGAAGTTGAGACGAGTCCCTGCTGGTTCTCCAGCAGCGGAAGCAAAAAACGCATTCTGTGCGGCTTCGCACCACGTCCGGACCAATCGGACGCGACCAGCCTTGTCAGAGTCAGTCAGTCTTTGTAGGGAAAGGACGAGATGGAGACAGAGACAGAGACAGAAACAGAGACAGACCACACACAAACACACACACACACACACACACACAAACATGCCCGCCAAGAG